TTTTCTGAAATTTTATTTCTGCAAAGGCATGTTAGTAATGTTTGCTGTGCATATCTTCATTTCAGCCTCCACACTGGGGGCAGCATTCTCCATTACATTTTAAAAGGTCTGGAAGGTGAATGTGCCTAGGGCCTATGTGTCTTTTAATGTTGTCCCCTCTTCTCTGTGAGAAAGAGAAAAATAAGGCATGGCATGGTACTTTGGGATAACATGTTGCTGCAGCAAACACCACTTGGGTGTTTTTTTCTTTTTCTTTTTCCTTTCCTAGGTATAACTTTTTTTCAGTCATACCATGGAAAGCTTGAATTCTGTACTACAAGTTACAGTTTCTATAGCGAACCATACTGCAATCTTCCTATAGTCTTCTGAGTCATCCTATAGAATTATGTAGGGAATTGTATCCCTAAAGGTTGATTCAAAGAGTATTTAGAAGTATCCTCACTTTTTGTTACATTTGATAAGGCAATTTCATGATATATTCTGTTTGCCAAGCAATAATTGAAAGTCACATAAATAAACAAACTGAAAATTTGCAGATTTTTGACGCTGTTTCTTTTCAGCTAGTAGGGTCATTCCGAGTGCAAGCATGAGTTACTAAGGTGAACAGCCCCTAATGTGCTGTGTGCATGAAATTAAATCATTTAGATAGCTGAGCAGATGAGCTGCCTTGTCAGTGAGGTTATCCGTCATATCAACAGGGAACCTTAAGATTCACAAGACACGAAAAATGTTGCCTACTCACATGGGATGTTTCAGGTTGTCATTGATTGAGATCAGCTGTTTCTGCTTCCCTCCCATCCTTAGGACACTTTCCTTCCTCACGTTGAGTGTGGGACGGTGACCCTGATAGGAGCAACCACAGAAAACCCTTCCTTCCAAGTCAACGCTGCTCTTCTGAGCCGATGCCGGGTGATAGTCCTGGAGAAACTCTCGGTTGAAGCAATGGAGGCGATTCTGATGCGGGCTGTCAGGTCCTTAGGGGTCCAGGTTTTGGGCCAGGGTGACCAGCACGGCAGCTCTGCAACTGGCAGCAGCAGCGAGAGCTCAGAGTGAGTACTTTATGGGCTGCAGGGTGTTAATGCACACAGCCTGAGGAATTGACTGCCTGCCAGAGAGAGAATGAAGCAGTTGGGGGCTGGGAAGAGAAACCCTAGCCACTTCTGATTGTGAAGAAAAGAAGTGGCAGCATATGGCAAGGGTGGGGGGTGACAGGAGAGAGAGAATTCAAAGCACTGGCTCTCTCTATCCAAAACATAATCTCACCGTCTGGATTAGAAGAGAGAGTTTTATACTTGGATCTGTAGCTCCCGACTCACCCTCACAGGATATTTAAATCCATTCTGCTGCTGAGGATTTGCTGTGGAAGCCTGTAACTGGGTCTTTGTCATGTCCTAATGTGCGTTTCTTCTTGATACTGGTTATAAAAGCATCACGTTACCATTAAGTGGTGGATGGGACATCCCCTCTTAAACTAATTTGGAAATGCCCGACAAAAGTATTTTGGTTTGCAGAGAATTTTTAATAAGATTGGGGAGGGTGCTACTGTTCTTTAGTTGGAGCATAAGCACTGTGGTATGTTTTATGGTATGCTGTGGGGAGGGGGGCTGTTGCTGTGAAATGTTAATAGATTGTTGTAATATAGACTGTTTTTTCTCTGTGCCTTGTTGTCCAAGCCAGAATAGAGTCACGTTAAACATTCGGGAGAACTTTGGAAAAAAATAGGTCCAGATTTGTCTATAAGGGATGTTATCTACCTTCTGAAATGGCTAGCCGGCAATTAAGAATAATGCTTGGTACTGCATTACTTTCATGCAAGTTATTACAGTTCCTTCATGTTGATGCTTGTCTGTACTCTTAGTAATTCACAGGGTATTGACACGGTGGTAATTAGGCAGTCACTCCATATGAAGTAAATGAGAAGGATTCCACTCTGTCATTTAGTTTTATCACAGAATGCAAGCAACTTGGAATCACTAACCTGAACACTGAGGTCAGGGCAGGGAAGCAACGCTATTCCTTTTTTTTTTTTAGGGTACCCTGCCCCATGGTTTACTCGTTTGTAGCTTTTACATATTGTAGTAACGTGTATTTAGAGGAGAGGGCAGTACTGCATGTCAGTGTTAATGTAATAGCACAGCTGTGGTTGTGGCTACACCCTGACTGGGGTTCAGAGGCTTTCCTTTCTGTACAGGATTAAAGTACAAGGCATAGTTTCAGCTGCAGTTGTTTGGGTTTGGGTTTCACTAGACTTTCTGTATCTGTAACCTTCCATTAGCTGTGGATGATTTAAACAGCACAGTGTGGTGCTTAATCAAACTGAAAGAAGTCTGGCAGGCAGACTGTCAGACTAGGGCACTTTCAGAAATCTATCCATGGAGAGAGAGGGCCCCACTCCAATGGCTAATGTGATAACCAAGCATTTAAAAATAAAAATGGGGTTCAGAATTTAGGAGTGCTTGTTGCAGTTTTGTGTCAAGTCTTTCCTGTCTTTCCTGCTGCTATCTGGTTCTGGTCTGTAGTTGATACATACTGTTGCTGATGAGTTGGCTTTTTATAAGCCATCCTGTCTGTTATGGTGGTTCTGGTTTTGCTCTCCTTTCTAATTCCTTCTTCTTGCTTCACTGTCCATACCATTTCTGCTCCTTCATTTCCTCTCCTCCTACTACTCTGTAGGAGCAGCTGTGTCTTGTCTTTTACCTCTTCACCTCACTGCCTCTGTGAAGCAGGGCTGTCATTAGGTGCAGACAGGTAATAGTGTTTATGCTGTCCTGAGGAATAAATGAAAGTCACCAGTTACAGTTGAGTTGGCTGTTCGCTGTGCTCACCTTTGTTCCAGAGTTGGAAAAGGAGCTGTCAGGCAGCATGTCCCCAAATGTGGGGCATGCCACTTTGAAAATGCGGCAGAGATCTATCCAGAAAGCACAAGAGATGTGTACATTTAATTTTGGATTTCATTTCCCATGTGAGTCTCCCTTCCCAAACCATGGAAGTGTAGTATGAAGTCCTGCATGTGCTGCTTGGCCCCAGTTTTATCAGGTCGTCTTAGTATCACACCACTTGGCTGACATGATGGCTGACCTAGATGAGATACTGAAGAAGAGGTTGGTTCTTTATGGTGTCTCATATTACTTTGAGGAATAAGGTAAGGGTGAATCTTCCTTAGTCTCTGCAGGAATCTTCTGTGCTCAATGAGAAGGCAGCTATTGCAGAGTGATTCAATGGATTTCATACTCTCTGCGCTCCATGCGTCTTCAGCAGTTATCAAAAGAAAAGTGTGCTCTATCCGAATCCATTTCCTTACATTTTCTTGGTGGCTTTTTCTTATCTTGCTTCCACCATTGCTGCAGGTTTCTGATAAGATTATGTCACCCAGCTTCTCTTTCATCCTGCTGGGGCCTTTCCTTGCTGTAAAGCTGAAAAAGAACTAGCAGGAGGTAGTTCTTTATGTCTTTTTCTTCTTTATGTCATCGTGCTCATAAGGCTTCTTCAACAGTTTTTTATTCTAGTTACTAGATTTCTTTAGGTGAAGATATGCTTTGTGTTAGATTTTCATCACCTTTACTGCTGGCAAACTGCCTTTTAAAGCCTGCAGTATATTAAGCTGAAAGATGGGGGAATAAGAAAGGAAGAAATGTACTCATGAAGAAGTAAGGAGAAGTCAATGTTAAAGACACTTTATATTGCTGAAACTTTACTTGTGCTTTCTGCAGTTTACACTGTCTCAGTGACAGCACAGACTGTTCCAAGTGTACACGGATACACTACACTTGTACTGTGTCAGTGATGGAGGAAATCAAATTCTTTTTCTTGGCTTTTTATTTTTATCATTCAAGTGCTACCCTCAGAGTGTTATCTCAGATTGAAGTCAGACAGTAAATGGATGGTGGATTGATGTATTTGAAGTTAGATAGCGCAGAAGGTGAGTAGCTGAGGGAAGTGAAAGGATCCCCTGTTTCCTGTCGGCAAGCCCGCACATCATGCAGTTCATCTTGTTAGTAGCAGTATTACAAGTACTGACAGGTTTTGAATTCACTGTTTTGTAAATCATTGTTGAAGATGGGCTTCCTTTGGGTCTTCGGTGTTCAGTAAGTTTTTGAAAATTACTCCCTTTTTGGAATATTTATCCAATTGTAGGAAATAGCGTTTCTGGGATGAGAGGTGACATTCAAACACAATGCTGTAAGACAGCAAGAGGTGGATATCATACTGCAATTTTTCAGGTGAAGAACTGTATTTGCCTGTACAAGTATTGCAGTCTGTCAAGGAATGAGTGTAGTGAGAATATTGCATTGAGAAAGTAAGAAAGTACTGATTTATATGTGAAAGAAGCAATGGGTACTTTATCTCATTTTCTGCTCAATTATTTTAAAATCTTCTATCATACAGGTTCTCCTTGCTTGGACTTCCGTGTATTTACTCCCTGATATTGCTTACACCCTCTTGTCAGTGGATCAAATGCTGCTGTGTTGTACAGGTTTTATGGGTAGTTCGTCATACATCTAATGTTGATACTTGGCACAAACTATCTTGAAAGTATGGAGATGAGGAAGAATTGGAAAAAGGATTTATTATCCTGTAGTGGTAGTTTTCCATTCCTTAAGCTAGTATATCACCTTCAGCTCAGGGAGTGATGGATCCTGGGGCATCCCTTTTGGCTTGTTTATGTTTTTGTCTCCAAGTATCATCGGTTACAAGGTGCTAACATAGAGTGTTGGCATCCAGTGGGTGTTCAGTGTTAATTTTGCAGAGTGAAAAAAATATGAGATTGCCCATCTGCAAGAGGATCAGGAGCTTGGGAAGAGGTCAGAAAGCCTGGGAGTTATTCTGCGTTGCAGCTCTAGGGTGTGCAGAAGTTGGGTAAAGTGGAAGTGTGTAGGGCACTTGAGCTTTTGAAGATAGGATGGGCTTAAAAATGTAAAAGGTAGCATACAGCAAGTGTATTTTGGAAGCTGAGGTACTGAAATAGTTGTCATCCTGATTTTGAAATTAGGCTGCTGCCTAGTGAATCATCAAAAAAAATGGAATTTAATATTTTAATACCTCAGAAAAAAATAACTGAATTCAGTTATTCTGCGTATAAAAGGCTGTTATTTTGAAATACTGAGTGTGAATGGAGCTGAGATTATGGAATAGGGAAGCATTATGTTATTTCCAGTCAGTGATTCTCATCAATATGCTGTGCAAACAGGTTGTATTTGAAATTTTCTCCATTTATTCTTGTTCTTTATCATGTCCCGTATATTGTGCTATTGCTGTAGACATGGACTAATCAGCCTAATACATAATACATTCTTTGGAGGGGAATTTTCGTTACTGATCTGTTGTGACTTGGATTTCACAGTGGAAATGGACAAGACCTTTGCTTGTAAGGAGATTAGATTTTGTGTACTTCCTTGTGCATATTTGTTTCAATTCCTGTAATACTAATTGCTTGTGCTGAGTCAACAGGGCACTTAGAGTCCTATCATGAAACTGAAGAGACAGGAATAGAAATCAGCTTTCTTGCCTGGCTTCTCATTAGCAAATAAATGGGAAAAGTGCTCTGAGGCCTCAACTTTGTTTGGGACAGATTGTTCTTAGCTTCTTGCAAGCACAGTACCTGATGCACTTAAGAGTAGGAGATGGCAAGAACAATGACTTGCATGCACTGGCATGCCCTTTCTTTCTGGTAAGGTATTTTCTGTACCCCAGTGACTAAGTTGTAATACCTGTTACAATTTTTAAAAAAGAATGTAGAGTGCATATATGCTTTATGATGTAAACAATCCTTCTAACTGTTACTTTTTAAAGAACATGTGGTAGAAGCTCTTGCTGTTGGTAGTTGGTTCGAAGCCTTACACTAATTACTTTATACCTCACTATGTTGTGATAGCTGTGAAATGCTGTGAGAGTAAAACCTTGTAAAGGTCAGCTGGCTGTGCCAGAGTTGTACTTTAGCAAAACCCTAACCGTAGTTTCCATTGAACGTAATGAGGCAAGGAAAATGAGAGAGTTAAATAGATGAGAGCTCCTGCCCTACCTCTTTCATGTGCAATTGTGTTTAACATGCACTGGGGCAGGAGGAAGAGGTGTCAGGTCCCGCAGTGTTCTCTGAGGCTCTGCAATGCTTAATCATGACAGAGTGAGTTAAGAACAAAACTTACACCCAGCTGCCTCTCGACAAATTTTGTAAAGAAATGCCATCTCTAGCATAATACACAATAGAGGAGCGTGACGGGGGCTAACAAGGTATGGTTATTCTGTTGCAGATTCCCAGTGTACATAGAGGAAAAAGCTCTAAATACCCTGGCCTACCTTTGTGACGGTGACGCAAGGACTGGACTGAATGGACTACAGTTAGCAGTTCAGGCCAGATTAGCAGTGGGGAAGACCACTCCTTTGAATATTACCAAAGGTGGTTCTGCAGATGGCATTCTGATAACAGAAGAACATGTAAAGGAAGGGCTACAGCGATCTCACATCTTGTATGACAGAGCAGGTGAGTACCTGATACGGTTTCTGAGATGCACTGTTCTCAAGAGCTGGTATCCTCTATAATTTCTGTTTCTTCTCCCTCTTTTGTACCAGCTGCTCTGGTGAAGTGGTTGTACAGAAATTTGGCCCAAAATTACTTTTCCTTTACAATGTACCAGACTCACCCAGAAATTCCTTCTAAACAGGGTTCCTCTTACCACTTAGGTAGTGTAGGTTAGCTGAAAGACGTATTTGCTGCCCTGCGAACTGTTGCATGGTGAAATTATTTGTTCTTGAACATTATTGGAATATTGTCTTCTGAGAGGGTTGCAATGTAAAGAGCGAGAAGTCGTTTGCTGAGGGACTTTGTTCTTGGAGGGTTGGAAATATTCTGTTGCGCTTCTACTCCTTTGAAAGTCTTGGAAGTACTCGCATTCACGACAATACATTATGTGAAAATCTGAGCAGTTTGCTTTATTTTTAGAATTGCTTTTTAAGGTAATGAATTTTCTAGCTTGCTTAGGGTAGGTCACATAAAAGCATTTAAGGCTTCCTAATATATATATATATATAGATAGATATATATAGATAGATATATATGTATAGGAAGTGATATAATGTGATGACCACTCTTGCTACATTTGTGACTTGGCAATGGTAGGCATCACCGTAGTTGGCCACTATACCATTTTATGTGAAAGGGTTAAAATCAGAGCGTGAATATTAGAGATAAGGTGAATCCCCTTGAGCACGTATGCTAGTTTTTCAGCAATACTTGAATCACCGTGCAGTATAGTATCAAATGATTATGCCAAGCAGTATTTGGAGAACTGATTGATCTTTGTTTTGACACTCTACCTGCTATGTTCAATTAACACTACTCAAACCTACCATGAGAGATTTCTCGAGGTTGGTTGTAACGTATACGCCTGCTTGCAGCCTTCTTGTTAGAAAAAATGATGGCTCATTGTCAGGAAAAAGTCAGCTAGACAGATATTGATATGATGACAGCTGAAAAGTGGAGGGTAGGCAGGGGAACAGAGGAGAAAAATTTAATGGGGTCTGTGACAGGAAGAAGTCATGATTAGAAGCAAGTGGAAAATCTGACTAGCTTACTGGTGTGAGTGTCTTGTGTCATGTAGGTCCCTTGTGTGTTTGCTGTCGCCTTGTGGCTGCTGCAACACAGAACTCTTGGCTGTGGCTGTTGTGCCCTCTTACACCTATTTGCTCCTTTAGAAGTGGCGTGGAGTGCCTCTTTCTGAGGCTTGCTAAGTAGCATGTGTCTGCCCCTTCTCTGTGGCAGAAATCCTTCAGGCTCTGTGTAGGGTTTTTTTTCTTTTTGTCAGAGATTTTCAAAGAGGGTCAAGAGCAGTGAAAATTCTGTTTCTTGATTGTATGAATGCCAAAGAGCCTGCCACAGATTTTGTCACAATAGCAAGTTGCCTGAGTACATGCCTTTACAAAATTTCTCTGTTCTGCAGAGTACTCTGAGTCTCAGTGTTTTGCTAATTGACAGTGTTAACAGAAAGCACACAGACACCAACCAAAAGAGAAGGCTTATTTTACAGTCTATTTCAAGGTGATACAAAAATAAGGTAATACATTTAGTCAGAAAGATAAGCTTATTATACTCTAGTTTCAAGCAGCAAAGAGAATAAGCAGAGTAATGCACCTCATCATTACTACGTAAAGTTAACTATAGTGATTTAGAAAAATACATCACCAGTTGCCATCATCCAGATCTGCAATTGCTGGGGAGTCCCGGTTGCTGTGAGGATTTGGAGAACCTATCCCGGCAATTGGGAGGTCCTACTCAGTGCATCCACTCGTAGGTGAGGTCTCCAAAGTCGCTACAAGAGGGTCCAGCTTTATACAGTTGAACAACTTTCAAAACTCCAAGTGCAGAAACATCTGGTGTCACTCTTCCTGTTGGATTCTGCCCAAAGCCTGGCCAGGCTCAAGGAGGAGCCCAAGGAAGTATTTGTATTTTAGCTTTAACCATCTGTCTTAACAAAGCCAGTCATCCGATTTCACTCGAGCATCTCTATCTATTTTAGCTTTAACCACCTGATTCTCCACAAAGCCAGTCATCTGATTTCATGGCTTTGCAACATGCTTTTAAATTAAGAAAGATCTGCCTTGTTGGTTAAACTAAGAAAGATCTTTTTTGTTGGTGACTGTTACACAATAAGTGTTACAAGAAAGGTTACGGATTGATACCTATATATATTTATGCTAAGATAAAATGCTTTCTAATCATGATAGCAGCAGCAGTGTACATTCAAGTGTAGTGTGTTCATGTAGAACGCACCGAATAATTGAGTAGTGTTCAGAGTTGTGTGAATATGGAATTTTGGTTTTACATAATTATTTTTGCTCACCTGCAGAATTTGGCAAATATATGTAGTTGGGCATTCTTTTTTGTACTTTCACCAAGTAGTCAAGGAAGGAAATTATTCTTAATGCAGTCATTAGGCTGTTGTTCTGATCTCTGTGCAGACAGGTAAAGAAAAGATATTTGTGCAGATACTCTGTGCATTTGAGCTGGCAGGACAAAGAAACCACTCTAGTCAGATTTCACTGCCAGCAGCCACCCTTGTAGTGTGAGCAGAAACAAACTAGTTAGTCATATTTTAGCTTTCAGTTGGATTTTTTTGAATTTTGGTTTTTGGAGAAAATTATGCAGCAACCAAATTAATTAAAATTAACTACAGCTGGACAAATACTAGGTATTTAACATAGAGTAGTATTGTCTCTTCTTCCCCTTATGTATTGTGTCTGACTGCTAACACTGATTTAATAGAAAATACCAAAGATAAATATCAGAATAATTGCAGGATTTTAACTCATTATCTGTGTGGTAATAGCTTCACTTATGGTAAAGACTGGGAATATATTAAGATGAAGATAAGTTTATTCTGCAATCTGGAAGTATGTTTGTCCCTTCCTTTTTTATGGAGAAGGTGTCTCACACCATAATGGTTTTTTGACAGCTTTAGTGTTTTCTGCTGGACCAGAATGAGAAGTCTTTTTACCCATGCTGTCTTTCTAGTCTTTCTTCCAAGGCTTTCTTCTGTCCTTTATTAGTGAGCAGTTGATGTTTACCTTTGGCTAAGACAGACAGGAAGTAATGTGAGATAGGGACTGTTATGTTACTTTTGCCCTCTGTCTTACAAACAGGGATTACTTAAGAAGTCCAGATATTCATTATGGTCAGTGAATGAGACTTTTTCCCTGTCTTCTACCAAATAGACATTAGATAAACTAGCATCTTAAATAAATTAACTGGAAAACTCTTCATGGGCACATAAAGCAATTTAGGGGCACAAAGCTGGGAATTGACAGGATTTATGCATCTGTGTACATTAGACACTCTAGAAAATCCTGTCTTCCACAAAGCCTCATGGGCAATATCTTGTTTCTCTTAGGAAAGGGATTTGCCTTTGTGGGAACTGCATAGAGCAAATGTATTTTGATTCCAAAAACTCTTTATAGAGTTTTCATTTTGAGAGGCATCCAGGATACAGAACAGCAGAGATAGGTTAAGTTTGCATGTGTCTGTCTCTCAGCTGAATTCACAAGCCCAAAATCTATATATTGGCTAACCAGCCTGAGAGACAGGGCAAATAAATAAAGGCCTGTAAAAAGTTCTGTCTAATTCTTTTTAAAACTGCTTCTGGTATCTCACATAGAAAATATATAAACTGTACTTTTAAAAAAGAGACTTAAAACCTCTTTGTACAATGCAGGTAACTGTATTTTGCATTTAATTGAAACAGTATTTAAAGTATGACTGCACAGTTTTTGTGAAGAAGTCCACATCTGCTGTGTAAGTGTTGTCATTATGTTGATGACTCAGTCACCAACATTAACTTTGTGCGGAAGGAGATAAAGGGAAAAAACTGTCTCCTTTCTCAGCTGCATACTCTGAAATATCCCACAGGTATATATCTTTAGTCCCAACTTACCCACTGGATTCCTTCTGCCCCTCCAGCAGGTGTCCCCAAGTATGACACTTTACAGTAGCCCAAACAGTGTATAAAAGCACTCCAGCAAAAAAAAATCTGGGCAAGTACAACTTCTGGAGATATTTAAAGGCCATCTTCCTTACTTTTAAGACCAAGAGATGCCTCTTCCAAGAGGGCAATGCAAGTTCAGCTGCTTGGGTTTATTGCTACTAACTCAAGTGTTATGATGGAGCACGGACATGCTGTTTGTGTTGGCATGAGTGATGACTGCATACCACAGGGCACTTTGTGTGGTATCAAAAATAGCTGTCTGCCAGCCTCCGTATGCTGGCAGCATACGTGTTGAATTCCCTGCAGAACCACACTGCAGCATGAGCAGCAATGCAGGAAGGTGGACCCAGTTTCTCTCCTGGGAGGTGGAGGTCTTGCTGGCTTTGAAAGGAGTAGGCGCAGCAGTATGGGGCCTTTGGTTTTCAAATTTATGTGTGCAGCCTTTCATTTTGCAGTGCCTACAAGCAATGGTGACATGTTCTGATGCGGCCCTGGGGTTGTAAATCCTTTAGCTGTAGGAAGAAGAGAAATATTAACAGATGGCTGTGCGTGCAGCCAGTTGCCTTTACAACACACAGTTAGCAGTGAGCCAAGGAATGCCAGACACTTTAAAAACTAAAAAGGCAGATTATGTGGAAGTTTAACAACAATATCACAGCAAAATACACTTACAAGTTTGATTAAAAGAAGTGCATAAGAATCAAAATGACCTGCACTGAGAAAAATTGCACGGAGGAAGCATCTTGTTCAGTGTTTGTAACCATCTATTTTTAACTGTAGCCCTTAAAAAATCTCTCAAATGGCTTTGTTTCTCCTTGGAGTCCATATCTAATCTTATATTAAACATCAATGTTAAAAAAAATTCCTTTAAATAATTCAGTCTTCCCCCTCCTTACTTAGCAGTCTGGCATTTCAGGAAGCTGGCTTTTTTGTTTCATTTTGTTCATGGGGTTTTTTTTGAGCTGCTGAGTTTTCAGGACCCTTCAAGTCGTGCAAGTGTCTACAACTGAACCCAGCATTTCATAGGGATTTGCCAGGATTGTGTGCTGTGACCCTGTTTCTTCCAGATTATGTAATAATCATTGTATATCCACAGCAGCATTTCATTTTTTCCCCCCATATAACACAGAAAACACGTCTGATTTACTGCACACTTTATTTTCAAGTTTTAGTTGATGTGAAATATCTTTTTCCTAAAATATCACTAGTGTATAGAACTGAATTTCTGTGATTCTTCTGTTGCCTTCTCAGAGCTATGTGCGTGTCCAAAAGCAATTGTCGGTGGTTCATATGTGCTCATGCTTACTCTTTCTCAGTTAGGAGTTATTTATATACAGTCTTCTTTCTAACTGCTTGAAATATCAGGTTTTTTTTCTTTCAAAGGAAAGGTCATTAGGTTACCAAAACTAAATTGTTTTCCTGGTAATGTTTAAAACAACACCCTCCTTTTCATCTGCTGTTGCTCTGTTGTGCTTATGTAGTTAGTGGAATGATCCATGTGGCAAAGCATGAAGGGGCTGAAAACATTAATGAACACCTAATCTCACAGACATAAAAAGAACTTGAAAAAGCATGTTTTGTTTACTTGCATAACTTACTTATTTTGGTCTAGTAAAATATGTTCTGTTCCCTTAAATGCATTTCACCTGATTCCCACCAGCCAGTTTGTGTATCTCTTCTCTCCCATTCTAAACAGGAGAAGAACATTACAATTGCATCTCTGCCCTGCATAAGTCTATGAGAGGCTCCGATGAAAACGCTTCCCTTTACTGGCTTACACGAATGCTTGAAGGTGGTGAGGATCCACTCTATGTGGCAAGGAGGCTGGTGAGGTTTGCAAGTGAAGATATAGGTAAGTATTTCATGTTGGAATATTATGTTGGATTAAAATCTGTCAGGCTTCTGATTTCCAAACACTGGTGTTTGAAAAAAAAACAACCCCAAAACTTCTATATGAAAATGGGTACAAAATACTGAAATGCTCCACATCCAACAAAAACTTCATGTCTGCAGACAGAGACCTACGTATGGTGTCATTGTGATGATTACCTATTGCAGGAGAAACAAATATTTTTGAGATCAGGTTTTGGCAGCATATTAATATGAATTCTTTTAAACTTGTTATTGTAGGTCACCAGTAAACTTGTGTCCCAGCAAATGTGCGTTTCAGGGATGTCTGTATTTTTTTTAATGACTGTGGAAGATGAATATCTACCCTGACTTGCAAACCTCAGATTTGACACCTGGCTCCCTAGTTGTAAGGCATCTTGATTGACTTATCCAAAGTAACAGAGGCAGCAAAATTTTAGCACATATGTGGTGGATGAAGAGTTATGAGATCTGAGGAAGCTATGTCTATACAGCAAAAGTGAGCGATTTCTTTCTCACTCGGAAAAAGTGAGCAAATCGTACATAGGCATCTACTGCTCAGGCTGCCACTGTGTGGCAACAGATTTAGTCTGTAAATCATACCCACGATTTAGACCTTTCTTTTGGGGGGAAACAGAAGAAGGAAAGATGGAGGGAGTGGCTGTGGATGGAGAGAGTATATCTTATATATGCAAAGTATTGTACGACAAGTTCCAACATCTGAGAAAGCAACTTTGAAATGTGCATGGATAACCTTCCCTTTCCCGGGAGGGGAGGGGGGTGGTGGGAAAGAAGAAAAGGCAGTAACTAAAACTAAAGTGAACTGACTTTAACCTGCTTTTACCTGATCCCTTTTTGTAGGGCTGGCAGATCCTCTGGCTTTAACACAAGCAGTTGCTGCTTATCAAGGTTGTCACTTTATTGGAATGCCAGAATGTGAGGTAAAGGCTTCATTAATTCACTGGTTTGGAAGTACTACAAACTGTACAACCTACTTGTAATTATAGAAGGAAACAGAGATTGCAAGGACAAATTTAGTTATTCGTTCAGCATGCTGTTTCTTTGATGAGTAAGAGAACATCATGGCTCTTAAAACAGGTGATGTAGTTTGAAATAAAATTCACCACGTATTTGTTGTTAAAATGTGGTATGTGAACTAACGTAGTTTTGCTCGGTCCATTTTTTTTCTCTTAATTATAAATAAAATTATATATTCTGATATTCTAAAGTAGCTATTCTTTTCTAGTGGTAAAAATAATGAAGAGCTGTGTTGTTGTTGAATTATGTTATTGATACTATTGTGTAGCAGGCAGAGGTCAGTTTAAAAGCATAACCCCTGTCATGCTACATGAACAACCTGAATAACAGACCTTTTCCCAATTAGCTTAAAAAGTCATTTCAGATTTTCCCTTTTCTTCTTTCCAGGTCATTCTTGCACAATGTGTAGTGTACTTTGCCAGAGCACCAAAGTCTATAGAGGTATATAGAGCATATGGCAATGTCAAAGAATGTCTGAGAACGCACATGGGACCTCTGCCACCTGTTCCACTGCACCTGAGAAATGCCCCAACAAGGCTCATGAAGAACTTAGGTTATGGTAAAGGGTATAAATATAACCCCATGTACAAGGAGCCTGTAGAGCAGGACTATCTACCAGAAGAGTTGAAAGGAACAGACTTCTTTAAGGAACGAAAAACATGACCACCTTGTTCAGACTGGTTTCTGATTTTATGACTCATGTTTGTACTGTAATGGAAATTCCTCTTACGGTTTCAGCCATCCATTACTGTGGTTGAAAGTACTAAACTGCTGAGCCTTCCAGATAACTTTCTTATCATTCTGGCTTTACTGCTGTTATTCTGAAGGTGTTCTGTAAAGAATTGCAGTTAGGCAGTGTAGAAATGCCCAAAAAAAAAAAAAAAGCTTTATCAGTTTAGTGCTGAAATGGAGAAAAAATTAGACACCTGTATTTCTGGCTCTTACTGTAAGACAAGGAATATTATTGGGTTGCTTTCTAAAATCAGTATCTGTTTCAGATTTTGAGAATTTATTTTCCAGAAAAATAGTAAATTGTACTCCTTACTGCTAAAATACAGTAAACAAAATACAGTGTCATTCTTGCTGTCATGATGTTCCAGAGAATAATTTTGTACTACTACATTTATTAAACAATAAAGTTGTTAAAAATAGTGTCTATGCATTTGTTTAAATATTCTTATGACAGCAGTGTGGTTTTGAAAGTTTGAGGTTCCTTTAACTCTGTCATCCCTACTTTCCAGAGCAAGTTTAAATCATTTTGGAAGGAGAATAGTCATGAAAACAGGTGAATTATGTTAGTTTTTTAAGCTGTATCACTTAACCTTTTTATTGTGTGATGACATTTCGGAAGTGCTTTTGGAAAGGAGATTCCTGGTATTTCCAGTTGTGCATCAGGAATTCCATTAGCTTTGAACTGGAAAGCAGAGAGACAGAAATTGACTTCCTGCTGTTATAATAGAGGGTTTGGCTTCCTCTTGAAAACATCACCATCCAAGATTGCTGTTGACTGTAAGTGGAACATACGGTCATGGCAGTGTCCTTAAATGTTGACAACATTCCTTCACTTAAGTGCTGATTATTTCTCTTCTCTTCAATCTTCCTTAAGTGTGCGCTGGCCTTGTGTACTGAAAAAACAGCAACTGCTAAAAACACGTACTGACTGTGCTAACTAGCAGTTGGGCAGTAGAAGAGGACTGTGTTTGGCTAGAATTACAGGAGATAATTAGCAAAGATTTTCATTACTGAGCTGCTGAGGAGCCACTGGGGCAACTGTCCACACTTGTCAAAGTGCTGTAGAGTAAACTGGCCACCAGTGATGAGGATATGTGTCTTGGCTGAAAATTGCCACCTACGGAGTAGCTCAGCACAGTTACAGCTGGACTTGCGTGGTAACTACTCGTGATTTGCTTGCTATGTGCCCCATAAACCTTTGTTAGTGGGTCTGTACTGGTTACCTGATGGACTTCCAGGATTCCTGTC